TAATATGAAAGTTGCTATAAACTTACTTTGAACAAGAAATTGAAGGTGAAAAAATTGATGAATTTTTAATTTTTTCCTTTTTAAATTAAAAATGATCAGGAATTTTTGTCAATCTAAAAGAGATTTTTTATTTAAATAAAATTTAAAGTTCAAAATATTTGAGTTACTATGGTTTGTACTGTAAATTTTCCATGCATAATGTACAATATATGCGTGTATGTATGCATAAAGAGGCGTGTAGTATGTCGAACATTTTTTTCTGACTGACCTCTTTTCTAATAATTGACCAGGAGTAGATTATGTCTTACAATATCAAATTCTAATTATTAATCCATAATGGTCCTGGCAGCCGAGGGTATTGATAATATGATAATAATTTATTATATAATTTTATATGAATAAATAAATTAATAAAATTCTAATTTTTTTATACTTACATATACCCAGGCGTAGATAATAAGGTTAATGTGAGTTTAAAAATTATGATTTTATATTCCTTTCGAAAATTAATTTTTATTTACATATTTTTGTATTATTCATAATCTTATATCAATATTTATCATTACTACTCAATATTTCTTTAAACATAACGACTTTTGATTAAAATTTTTATGGTCTGCTTTTGACAAATTTATACCAAAAATTTTTTCCATTGCATACACCTAGGCTTATTGTGAAATATTGGAATTTTAAAAGTAATTATTGTACTAAATATTAATTATGTATAATTATATTAAAATTTTAGACCGAAATCAAATTTTGTATACTTACCCCCATTATTACAAATAAAATGTATTATACACATATCGCATTGTTGTGTGTGAGTCACCTTTATAGAGAGAACTTTATTTAATTTTAATTTTTATTTTGATTTTGCAGAAGAAATTCAATTTTTTTCCAGATGTCTGTTACATACATACATACTTATTATTTCATGCAAAATTGAATATTTCATAATATTAAACTGTTTGAGTCATATTGGAAATGATGACGAATGTACTCAATTTGCAAGAAGAAACAATTAAAAAAAATTTTAAATAGCTTCCCACTGTTTACAGGTTCCAAAGTGTTCTAAATTTCTCCAAAATAACTCCACATATTTTTTTGTAATTTGTTATAACGTTAAATTTTTATTCTGTCTATAAATGGTGACATACTTAGTAACGAGGACGTATTGTAATCGGTAATCGATAAAGTAATTTCCAAGTTTATATAGAGAAATAAGGGTTTTTTTAAATGCCAAATTGTTGGATCAGTTAGAGCCCATACATGCGTATACATACTCACATATTTCAATTTCAAATTTATACTTAATAGTTGTGTATATACAAAATAAAATGCTTATGACAATTTTTTGAGTTCATAGAACTTACAAATTGATTTTTTAATGGCATTTAATCAAAAACCGCTAAAATTGATAAAGATTTAATAACATTTTTACAATTTTACTCCAATTCAATGAAATTTTAAATATAAACAAAAGGTTTATGGGTTTTTCTCAGTAAAATAGTATAGAGAAAAATGAATATTTTTGCGGAAAAAAAATGTTTTCAATTTCAACATAAATAACTGATTAATGAATTTTCTCTTTTCTTAGAATTTTTCGTAACAAATATTATTCATTAGCATTTTAGAGAATTCAAGATTAAAGAGAAACTTTTATTCATTTAAGATTCTTTGAAAAACATGGCTTTAACTTAGTATTAGACTATAGTGTTAAAAATGTAAAACTGTAATACAAGCATTTTATGAAAACTGCAACTGCAAGTAAAGCGTATGTATTCTCTAATTACCAATATCTTAAATATCAAACAAGATGTAGAGTTACGATCCTTTTTACAAATTTTTTTGAACTTTTATTTCTATTTCTTTAATTATATAAAGCAAATAGAATAATGACAAATTCAGTTTAGTACTGGAACTGCATTTTCAAAATTAACTTAGCTGGAGATCTGTTGCTACTACAAAATAATAAAACAAACTCGAAGTTTTGAGTTGTCAGAAATTGTCAATCAATGCAAAACTGTTTTCATTTTTAGTTAGAAATGCGTACGAATGCGGCGCGGCGCTTTCAGAAGTACCTTTACTGTAGTAATTTTTTAAATATTCCAACAAAATTAATTTAATTTTCATTCCAGTTAGTTTTTAATTATCATTCCATTATTTAGTTTAAATTATGAATATTTTATTTTATATGAAGTTGGTTGCAATTGTACAATAATAACATATTCTTAATAAACTATAATTTAATTAATTTAAATCTGGGTTATTCACATATTGATTTTGAATTTTGATTATTGAAATTTTCGATTACAAAATTTTATTTACTAAAAATCCACCTCGTTCGCGTTTACTTATTGTATACTTGCTTTTTTTTGTTTTTATTATTGCATACTTGAATAATAAATAAAAGGAGATTTTTTTTTTAGATTAAATAAACTTTGTTATTGTTTTGGGCTAAAAAAAGCAAAACTACAAACACGGAAATCGATTTTGTACTTATATGAAATCGTCTTAAAAATTTTAATTTATAATAATTTTGTAAATATTGAGAATATAGATCAAATTCAACTTAAAATATCAAACCAGTTTCAAAAGATTCATTCGTATATTTTTTTTATTTAAATTAATTGAAATCTAGTTTTAATGAAATTCTTGTATGGTTTTTGCTTGAATTTTCATTAACAATATTGCTTTCGTGTGCTTTACGTTAATGATGGTTGATAAAGTAAATTTTTATATTCACTTGAAACTTTATTTAAAATTCGGTGTCAGTGGCGTTCAATTTATAATGAGAATTTGAATCAGTGCTCCCTATATTGTAATTTTATACTTATTGTAAATTGTTGCAAATCCAATAAATTTTTTTTTAAAGGGAAATATTTGAATTTGGTTTCAAGAATATGTAAGTTTGGTAATCGTGACTACTTATCTTTTAATATTTGATTGCTTGAAAGAGTTGAACATCTCTGACTACTTATTTTTGAACAAACAATGATAAGTAATAGTTAAAAAAAAAATTAAAAGCAAATTGATTGTTTTAGAAATTCAAAGCTTAAAATGAAAAAAAAAAAACAAAAAAAAACTTTTGTTTAGCTATCGCCAAATGTTTATGATTACGCAAAGAAATAGATGATAAGGTGACTTGACGTTTATATGGTGATGAAGATTGTCGTTGTGAATGTAAATTGTGGTTTGATTCTTTACGATTTAGTCGTGTTGTAATTAAATATTAAAAATCTACAATAAACGTTATTTTACTTATAGTATTAGAGTATTGTATTCAAAAACATGGAATTCATTTCAACTAATAAAATAATAAGTGTAGAATACTAAATTAAATAAAATTAATAAATTAAACGGTGATGTTCATAAATTAATTTGTAATTCTTTGAAAGAATATTTTGAATTTTGATTTTAATATAAAATAAAATCTTGGGTATCTACCTAAATGGATACGTAGGTACGCATAAACGCATAAGGTAATCGAATTGAGCTTGACAACTTGCGTTGTCTGACATTTATTGTCAAAAATTTGTTATATGTGCAATATTATGAAATTCAAAATAATTTTCAATAAGCAGATCAATTTGACAAAAACGGAAAGAAATATACAAGTACCTACGCGTTGTCAAAAATAAAAATTTCAATACGTAGGCGCGTAGCTCATTTAGGCCACTTGATTTAGAATGTACGGGTATGACAACATTTTGAGACGAGTACTACGCGCTACGATTTCTTTGAGGTAGATTCCTTAAACCTTATTTTCATAAAAATAACAATTTTCTTAAAAATGAACTAAAAATTTTGAAAATATTTTTTTTTCTATGAAATTTTAATATTTGAAATTTATATGTGAAATTTTAATATTTTATTTGTGACGGCCAATTTTATTAATGAAATACTTGTATTGGTTATCAAATATACCAAACTTGCACAAAAATAGCAATTACTTTTTCAAAAACTATACTAATTTTATGACATACTTTCGTATCGTATTTTCAACATTGGTTTTATAAATTTTAAACCTAATAAGAAAATGTGATAGTAAAAGTTTTTTCTATTTGTTGTAAATTATAAAATTGTTATTCATTAGAAAACCAAAAGATTGAAAAACATTAAAATTCAAACTGTTATTCAATTATTTTGCTTTGTGAATTAAAATTAAGCTTGATATCAATTTTAAATTAAACAAAATGTCACATTATTTTTGCAAGGATAAAATTTAGGCTAATGGTTGTACGAATTACTTCAATGTGATATTTTATGACACTGTGCTTTCGACATAATAAATACTGATTTTATGATTGTACCATTATTTAGATAGAGTTTTGAAAAATACTGTTATTCTTAAGCTTGTCAATGTTCAGTTTTTTTGTCCACTTAAAACTGTACGCGAAAAAGCCTTCATTTTAAATACTTTACAATTTGTAAATTTTATTTAGCGGTTCTAATAGAATAGTTGATAAGAATAAGTTTTCGTATTTAGAGTTAAGCAAAATCCATTAGACATTCTTGAGAATTCGATAAAGGAATTTAAAATTTGAATCTAAATCATATTGCCTCGCATTATTTAAATTATAACTAATTTGTAGCCATGTGGTTGTTGAATGCACATAAAAGTTCGAAAAGGATTATCTTACACTAGACGAATGCGAATGACGAATAACTTTATAAAATCTATGTTTCGTCTATGGGGCGATATATGAAATTATTAAATTATTTTCTCTTTTTAATAAATTAGGTAATAGAGAATTTCTATGTAAATGTATATTATGTTCTAATTCATATACGATAGCAAAATTTTAAGGAAGTATATTCATAATTATAGAACTCAGCATTCTAAAATTTATGAATATAACTATGTAATACTTGAATGTATGTTTGAATGATGTATAAAAATTTTAAATGAAAAACAGACTATGTTGAAACAAAAAAATAATCATTTTATTTTTTAATTACTTATCTATCGTTTTTTTGCTTTTGTTTTCTATTTTCAGATTTTATTTCAAGTAATAAATTTCAACAAAAAAAGAAAGGAGAAATTAAATTCTAATTTTCAATACAAACTGTAAATTCACATACATATAGATGTATAAATAAAGTATATATACATAACAAATTTTGTTTATAACTCAGCATATATTTATGTATATAACATACATGTTTTATACATTATGTAGGTACATAAATGGAATTTATTAAAAAGTTAACATCATAAATTAAAATTTCAATTAGAGTTTAAACAAACAAGTGTTCACACTACGCTAATTTGCGTGTAGAGAGTTATTATAATTCAAAAACCATTTTGTTTAGTGAAATGATTTTGGAAATTTGACATCTGCACTGTTTTTCTCATATAATGCAATAAAAAAAAGCAAAGCTTCCATGGCGTCAAATGTAAAAAAAGCGTAGTTCATCAAATTTTCCAAGATGTTTATTGGAGTTTGAGATTAGTTTTTAAATTAGATATAAGTACAACTAACTCTCGTCTCACAAATTAGCTAATTCTGTGTTTTAATTGAAATTTTGATTTACTTATATCTTAAACTAATTTTTCTTTTTTCTTTTTCTAGCTTTGAAAACGGTTAACAACCACCAAATATAATAAAAACAACAATAATAATGGTGACAAGAAATGTTCAAAATCAGCAAATAATTTACAAAACTTATTCAAAACTAGTTCCAATTTTATTTCTTTTACCAAAGTGTGGCATTTCAGTTGATTATTTTAATTTTCGTTAATATTTTTTTTGTTACGCTTTTTTAAATATTTGATAATAAGTGGTTAAAAAATTAGAATAAAAAAAATCAAGTTATTTAAAAATTTATTTAAAAATTGTCAAATATTTTTAGATATTTACTTACAAATACACATGTACACATATATGTATATGCAAAACTACAATACAAAAGAAAAAAAATAGAAAAAATAAAAAAATAATTAAAAACTTTCTGATAAGGCAAAAAATCATTATCAGCAATAATTACATTAAGCCATAATAAAAAGAAATCAAATTGACATTGTGATTGGGTAAAAAATAAAGAGAGACGAGAGATATTTTGTGTTATTATAAGTAATTAAAAAGAGCAAGATATACATTTTGTATGTAAGTGACATCTCTATTTAGTTTTTTTGAGATTAATATTAATAAAATCAAAATTTTGAATTTAATTATAACTGAAAGAATATAAAATTAATTATTTGCAATTTTAGTTTAAAACGATATTGAATGAAACTGCTGTGGTGCTACATCGAGAATAATTAAAAATTAACTAGAAAGTTGGAATTACGATAGATAAATTAGCAAACGCCTAATTACCACAATAACTTGTTTATAAAACTGTGTGCTAAATTAAATAAAAATTGAAAGAAAAATACACGAAAGTTTAAAATTTCATTTAAGTTTCTAAAAACACAAAATATTTTAAATTTGATTGTTAAAAATTAAATAATTTATATCGAAAATTATATAACAAATAATTGATAAATGGTTTTATGAACAAATTAAAATAATTATGATAAGCAGCATAAAAAGTCAAACCTTAAAACAAACAACAACAGTGTCATCATCAACTGCATCGGACGACGAACATACACTTCACCAACATTTAATTGAGGATATGCTAATAAGGCCATTAAATAACGATGATGAAAATAATTTATTTGGAGAAACTATAATGGTTAAGTCAACAATACCATCTGTAAATGAAAATTTTATTGATTCTAAAGTATTTAGTAACAATAATAGTAATAGTGATAACACTAATAATAGTATTTTATTAAATTCAAATAATATTGATAATAATGATATTATATTAAATAATAATAATGGTAATAATAACATTAATTATGAATTAAAAATGATGCAAAACAGTTCAGTAACAACAAAATTAAATGATACTCAAAATTTATATAAAATTAATAATATAAAAAAAGAAAATATAACTGATGATTTTAATAAAGATGATTTAAAAAATTACATAATGTCGATTTCAAGTTCAATTACATCAACAAATACAACAAATTCCAATGATATATCGGTAAATAATAACAATAGTAATAATAATAACATAAAAAGTAGTAATAATAAAGGTAATAATAATGAAAATATTGATAATTTAATATATAATAATAATGAATCTGAATTTGCTATTAATTCAATTTCTACAATACCAATTAATAATGCCAAAGATTTTTCTAATAATAATGATAATAATTTAATACAAGAGCAAAAGCCATTAATTCAACAAGACATTTCTAATAATTTAATAAAGTCTGCAGTTAAATTGGAACCAGATTCAATATCAAATTCAACATCATCAGTATCAAATATTAACTCAAATTCTTTTAAAAATGGTATGATATCTAATAATACTACTAAAGTTGATGATAAAAGTGCCTTATTTAATTCATCTACTAATAATAATAGTAATAATAAACTTAGTTTCTGTAATATATCTCCTGTACCAGTAAAATTAACAAAATTTCCAATATTTGATGATTCAAATCAAATTACATCAACTTGCAATAATTCTAATAATTTATTACAATCACAAAAGCAATCAAATGAGGGTACACCAAAAATGACTTCAAATTTCTTAAATAACATCAAAGTATCAACTAATGATAAAATATCAGATAATAACAAAATTGCTACTTCAATTGCAACATCGACAACTGTTGTTAAAGCAAATAGTAGTAAACATTCTTCTGCTGGCACTCGTGTTGGTTTCATAAGTTTAGAACAAAATGGTTGGAATTTAAATTTTATTACTACAACTAGCTTAATACCACCTATATCGACCACAAAAATCAATAATACAAAAAAATTTGAAACACCGCAAATTCCAATAAAAACTACAACAATCAATAGTAGTTGTAATAATAGAATTAATGTTTTTAATGACAATTCAATAAATTCTAATTTGAAAGTGGATGGTGATAGCAATAGCAATAAAAATACAATTAATCATCATGTCAATAATGCAATTGTGAATCGATCATTGATTGAAGATGTTCATAATTATTCGAAAAAAAGTAAACGTTTTCCAATGGAATGTGTTAGTACAACAAATTCAAGCGTGGAAGAATCGGAGGAAGATGACGATCCAGACGATGATAATGATGATGGTTATATTGATTATGAGGAGGACGGAGAAGAAGAAATATGTGGTAATGAGTTTGATTATCGAAAATTTTTAACAACAAAAACTAAGAATAAAAAACGATTCCAAACTCTTAAAATTGACTCAAATATTGGATACATTGGAAATAAAAAATTGCAAGATAAAATTGAAAAAATGATTGTAGATCAGAAAGAATATTCCACAAACAATGAGATTTATAAAAAAACGCAACAAGAAATAGGTTTTATTGGTCCTAGTACAAATAATGATGAGAATGGGGAATCATTGTTAACGCCAGAACATCACGCTCGTAGACCAATGAATGCGTTTTTAATATTTTGTAAAAGACATCGTGCTATAGTTAGAGATAAATATAAAAATATTGAAAACAGGTGAAAAATTACTAAAGCTTCAAATTATTTCAATCAATAATATTTAAATTTTATATATATTTTAAGACAAGTCACAAAAATTCTTGGAGAGTGGTGGGAAAACATGTCACAGGATGAGAAAAGTTCATATACGAATTTAGCAAAGGAGGTAAAAAATATTTTTTATATACAATTAAAATTTCTTGATTTGTTTAAAGCAGGTGATAAACTTTACACTTTTATTTTTAGTATAAGGATGCATTTTTGTCAGCAAATCCGAATTTCAAATGGTATAAACTACCAGCACCACCACTTAGGACATTAGTTACGAGACCTCTAAATACAAATGAATCTTCGTTAGAAGAACCATTACCTCCAACTTTAAAGCAACCAAAACATTCATCACCTTTTAAACAAAGTTCTCCCCCAATTGAAGAAAATATACCAATTTCAAAAGAAAAAATTGTTGATAGAATGTCACCAATTGAACCTAAACATGAAGGGAATGTTGGGATGTTTAAATTTGCAGATGAAACGCAAATGGGAGGCCTTAGTAGCCTTATAACGTGTAGCAACAGCCCAAATGGCAACAACAGCCCCGATATAAATAAAATTTATAAATCTGAAAATCAAAATAACGATCATGAACATCTTCAATGCCCTTTAACTGAAACATCACAATTTATCTCTTTAGCAATGCCTAAGACTAAACCAGATATATCAAATTTAGAACCATTTGAGCGTATGCGTAATCATGCAAAAGAAATGCAATTATCAATAAAAAATAACAAAAGGAAAATCCTTATTGCCGATAACATTGATATTGGTATAGGGGGTAAGAAATTTATTAGAGATAATAGTTTTTCTAGTAGTGAAGAGGATAACTGGCTTCGGAAGCCAACAAGATCATGCAAAGGTAAAAAATATCAAGAATTAATAAGCTCTGGACAAATTGCCACTTCTTCGAAAAAAAATAAAAAATCGACATCAAACACTTTTGCACAATCTGATTTTATTAAATCTAGTAATATTAAAGATTCATCTAGCGATAGTGATGGAGCTGCAGCTACTCAAACTAATTACTCTGATAATAATCTGTCACCTTTAAAAATAAATGTTAAGGATGAAGAACCTGAAAATCTCCCAAATGTTAAAAAGACAAGTGATATTGAAAAATCTAGACAATGTGAAGATAATCAATTAGTGATACAATCGACTGAAGGAAAGCCTTTCGATACGAATGCATTCGATTTAGAAGCTAAAATAATGGCTTTACCAGCACAAGATTTAGAAGAATATCTACAAAAAAAGCAAGAGTCAAAATGCAAGAAAAAAATAGCATCAAAACGCAGAAAAAAATTTAATTCAAAGAAAATATCGAAATCTAGCAATAGCAATAATAATAACGATAACAGAGCTTCTCCTTGCTCACTATCATTAGATATTTCTAACCAAAATTCTTCAAAGTCAAGTGAAATGCAAGATATTATTACACAACAAAAATCGCAGCAGCAAATTGATTCAATTAAAGAACATATAGTCGGTAGTCAAAAACGCAAAGCTCGCAAAGAAAGTATCACTCGTCGTGATTTAAATGCCATTTATAAAACAACAACTCCCGTAATGACAGCAAGTGAACCACCTATTAATTGGGTTAATTCAAGTGATATAAAAATTGAATCAAATAGCGAAATCGATAATGCTCATTATGAGCCATTATTCTTACAATGTCATGAAGAGCAACCAGTGCAAAAGATTGAATGTGTATCACCTGCAAACGAACAACTTACTTATCAGGTATATGAACCAAAACTGGCTGAACCAACCTCAAAACCACATTTACTTATTTTAGCTGAAGTCGCCAGTAATTTTGACGAGTAATCTTTATTAAATTTTATTCCTAATTCTTTTACTTAGTTAAGGAATTTTTTAATGTTGAATCTATTAAGTGATCACTATTTATTTGTACTAATACGCATATATCAATAAATAATGACCCTCAATATACAAATTTAGGAGAAATTTATATAACATTAAGGAGAATCAATAACAATGTTTTTCAATCAGTCATTTCAAATATTTTTTATGTCCGCAATTACTTGTTAAAATATGCTCATACAAATTGCAAAGTTTTTTAAATGAAGTAAATAATTCAATATTATTTTTAATATATTTTGTTTTCTTCTCTTAATGCGCTTAAAAACTCGAAATTCATATAATCTTTTCAATGAATCTTTTAAATTTTTACAAATTAATTGATAATAAAATTGGTGGTTTCAGTATAGTAGTTATAAAGTTCCACAGGTCAGTCATATTTTAAGCAAATGAACCATTCACTTTTGCTTTGTAGAAATTTTTTCCTTTTTTGAAATCTTATAATTTTGTGATTAGTGTTTCAATTAATGAGCAAAATTTATCAAATTTTTTTAAAGACTTTGAAATTTCGTTCTATGCAACTATAAATACTAAATTATTTTTATTTTAATTTTTTATTTAATTTGCATAAGTTTTAGATTGAAGCAAGTTTTAAAGACATAATACCCTAATTTAACTATTTATGTATTTGTGATGATTGATTGGAAGACAAGTAATTTTATTTTATTTAAGAAAATTAAACCTATTTAAAGAAATGTTATAAGTTTAAAAAATTACCTTTATTGATTGTATTTATTTTACTTAAAAACCAATTAAATACAATAAATTAAATATTATATTACTTAAATTATTTTAAAGAGAAAACAAAATCGTAAAATGATGTGACTTAAATTAGACTGCAATAAATATTACAAATTTAAGGATACTGTGAGGAAATATAAGATGTTTTTAAGAATGGTATATATATATACAATACATATAGGCAATATAAAAAGTAATTTATATATTAAAATATAGAAGAAAGAAAACTAAATAGACAGTTTAAAACACTATTAGCCATTGAAATTAAAAGAACATTGATTGTGTGGTTTGATTTTTTTTTGGCAAAAAAAGAAAACAAATTTATTACTTGTATTGTTAATAATCATAATAAATTATTCATTTTAGAAGAATACGTATATTAAATAATATATTTATTTTGTTTTTCAATATTATTAATAAGAGTTTGAAATAATAAAATGTTGAATATAATACAAATACAAAATTCAAAGTAGTATATGTTTTTTAATAAGGTTTTATTGAATACATATTCACACCCATAGACTTTAGATATTCTTGTGCGTTATAACATTTTGTTTAAAAATAGAAATGTATACATATTTATACATGTAAGTAAATTATTAAAACATACTACATTTTCATTAATTTTTAAATCTTTATTAAACAAATTAAATATTTGAATCCATACATTATTATTAATAATTTTAATAAACATACAAACAAATTTGCGCCTATTAAACTTAATTATCGTGTTTAAAATTCTAATTAAAATTATTTTATATAAAAATAGAACTGGGAAAAAATAATATACACACATATTTATGTATATATATTTATATACATTATGTTAACTTTGAACCAAATTCTTAAAATTTATAAAATTAAAACAAAAAAAGGGTTAAACCGATTTAAAAGTTGATCGTATCCCCAAAAACTCGATAAAAAGCAATAAAATTTGAGCGAATATTTAATTTTTTTATAATCACTACAACACTTATTCCATTTGGTTTTCTATTTTATTTAGAACTTTTATTGATATGTAATAAAAACAAGTTTTAAATTCAAGTGTAACAATTTCGTTTAAAGAGTTTCGAAATAGTATATGTATAAAATAAAATAGATTTTGCTATTATAAATTAAAAAATAAACATAATAGAAATATAAATAATGGAAAATTTGTCAGGAATGCATTGCTTTTTTTTACATACAAAACAGAAAACAGTAATTTCATTTCATGATTATTAAATATCAGGTGAAAAATTAAGTGCAAATACCGATTTTCTATAATTAATTTTAAAAACAGAATATTTATTTTCATTGTATATGTATTTTTTTTTTATAAAAATTAAATTATTCGCTTGCAAAATAAGTATAGCATAATAAATTGGAAATTTTGTATGCTTCATCTAAGATTTTTAAATTTTTTCGGTTATCGTTAAAAATATTCTTTTAATTCTTTTCACTTGAAAATTATATTGAATAAAATTATGAATTTGTACAATACAGAAATAAAACCTAAAAAAAAAAAATAGTTTTAAAAGAGAGTACAGTCTTTGTCTATAACAATAGAAATATTTTCTAATAAAAACATAAAATTGATGTAGATTTTTACCTAATGTTATTCATCTATTATAAATAGCTAGATTCTCGCATAAATTCTAAATTTCTTTCTTATATAACAAGAAAAATAAAGAAAAAAAAAGACAAAAAAACAAAGTTTAAGGAAACAGTTAATAAGTTATAAAGGTAAAATTAAATTTCTATTTATTTTTAGTAGTCTATTGTTAAATTATGTAGAACTTTAGAAACGTTATAATTTATAAATGTGATTTTATGTTAAAAAGTTTCAATTTGTTATGTGCATTATGAAAATTAAAAATATTATTATATAAATTTTAATTAAAGTTATTTTATAAAGTTCATACACAACAGAAAATATGTATATATTTGAAATTAATTCTAAATATTTTGAATTATAATAGGAATTGCATATAGGAACATAAAAACTTCAGCTGCACACGAAAATGTTTCTCTTTAAATTTATACTTTGATTTTTTTTATACAGGTGTATAGATTTTATTTTAAATATCATGTAATTATAACAGTATAGCATAATAATATCATAAAACAAGACGTAAGTAAATGGCCAAATGATTTACTTCGCCTCATTCACTTCGCGAAATGCCCATTTTTCATTTCATTGCCTCGCTTTGTAAGCTTTGAAATATTTGACAGTTTTTTTTTGTAATTCTGCAAAAACTTTTAAAAGAAAAAATGCATTTTTTCAAAAAATGTTTGAAGAAAATTGATTATATATAATAAAAAATGAAGAATTATTTGGAACGAAACATAGTGACAGTTATTGTCAAGGCTCTTAAATAAAGTTCCCATTGGGCCTATACTTTGCTTTACTCAAAAAGCTTTCAAAATAAAGCCAGCGAGATTATTATTGTGGACCAGTACCTTAACGAATTTTTCCACGTCTCGCAATACTGTGAAGTTTTAAACAATCTTACTTTAATAATTTCTATCAGTTTTTTTTATTGGCTTGTTTATTAATAATTCAATTGTTCTAATAATTTTCAATAATTAATGATAATTTTTAAAAATTTCTTTGATTTTAATTAAATAATATGTATAAAATTATTTAAAAATTAAAAGCTATAATGATTAACTGAAAGTGTATGTATTTGATATTGTATTTTAATATTACTGAAAATAAATCAACTCAGTCCAGCATTTACTTCTTTATATATATTCTTTATATAATTGATATAGATAAAGTTTATTAATAAATTTTTCATTTTCATAAAAATAACTCATTTCCATTTTTTATAAAAAACGAAAAATAATTCGTTTTTATAATTAATATGGTATATTTCCCATTAACGTCTTGTCAATGATAGTTCCATAATACTTCCAAAATAATCATTAGCTTTTTCTTTTAATTTAAGGTAAATATTTCAAGAAATTAATTACATGAATCAATTGAATTTGTCGGGAAGAACGCCTATATCGCATTGATTTTTAATGACCTAATTTTTGATATTGCTCATTTTATGATGAAATTTTATTTTCCTTTTTCTTTGGAAGAAAAATTAGCAAAAAATTTTTAATTGTGTATTGAAAGAAAGGTTAGTCATATCCAGTAACTTTAATTTTGTTTTTAATATTTTTTTTTATTTATTTTAAGCTTAGATAATGGTTATTTTAAAAAAGCCAAATAAATTCAAATTAAAATTGTTAAGCAAATTATTGTTGAAAATTTGTTTCTATGTATATTTTAATTCTAAAAATTATTTATAGAGTAAAAAGAAAATATTTTAAATTCAAGATTAAAATGATTACATAAATATATATTAAATTTTAGTTTGCTAGTCATAATCACAAAGGAATTTTTTAATTAAAGTGTTAACAAATGGAAACTAGCTATTATGTATTATGATTCAGTAATTTGAATATATTTCGAATTTTAAATTAAAAATTCGGAATATTCAGCATAGAATATAGAACTGTTGTCATTGAGAAAAAGTTCATATAAATGAAATTATAATACAAGTGGTATTGTTTTAATTGTTAATTTAATAATGAAGCGAATTTGACTGTTTATAAGTTATGTATTACTAACAATTATTAATAAATATTTTAATTTATTAATGTATAAATTTCAATTGCTCGTTCAATTTTCAAAATATTTAGTTAATGTTAAAGTTTCGTCAAATTTAAATTTAGTTTTACATTATCTTTTCGATTTATTTTAGCTTTATGAATTTTATATAACCCTTCTATTCTAAAATTTAATGTTATTTGTAATTAAAATTAAAATAAAAAATTGTTACCATTAATCTTAATTATTAATAGTATTTTAAGAAATAAATTACAAATTCACATCTTCAATATTAATATCACTTAAGTAGAATTTTTTTTTTTTTGTTAAATACGTTTAAAATATTTTGTTTTGTTATACTTTGAAGTCACGTTTTTTTTGTTTTTTATATACATACATATATTATTACTATTTTTATTAATTTTGAATTATTCAATATAATTAGTTTATTTTTTTTTTAAATATTATTGACTGTTAATATTATTAACCCTCGGTTAAAAAACGTGTTGCAGAAAAAAAGAATTACATCAAAGGCTAATGAGGACCTCTATCCAACATCTTTTCTCATGCTTTGATATAGATAAACAAGATTTTAAAGTATAATAATTGAAATAATAATGTCACAGTCAGAAAAAAATGCTAATCTAAATTAATATTTTGTTTTAACTATTAAACCCTTTCAAAGGACAAATTTCAAAATTTATTATAGGAAAATTTAGAAGAATGCAATAACAAAAGGGAAGTCATGTGCGAAGACGATCAATATTTCAGCAAAGGTGTGGTCTGTACTTGCAAAAAAAAATTCCCATATTTCCTTTTTAGTATCAAATCCGTTATGCCACATAACTTATGATTTAACGATTTTCTTGGATATTGCAGGTTACTTGCAAAATTTAAAATAAGGTTTTAAAGCAAAATTATCAGAAAGCGTTTTTCATGCAATTTTTTCTTTTTTCAGTAAAGTACTATAAAATTGGATAGAGGCTTTTCCCAAAAGCACTTAATGTTATATATGTATATAATATCTGTATATATATAGTTACATATTATATAAACATTTTTTAAAAAATGTAATTAGTTACTAAAAATTCAAAATAAGTGATGAAAAGTTGTAATAATCTTTCCTTTTAGAATGAAAATAAAAAGAAGAAAAAAAAATTATTGAAAAAAAATTATATAACAAAAAATACATACATTTTAAATTATAATAAGTGTTACAATAAAATTGAAACAATGATTATTTAAATTTTGTTTATGTTAAAATAAAAAACTAAAAAAAAAATAGAAATAAAATATTTTTGAAAATAAATTTTGAATATTTTTGTACTTTATATGATTTTGAAATTTTGCTAATTCTATTTAGAAAACATTTTTATATTCATTCTCTACTGTTTCCAAACAAATAACTTATTTCTAAACACAAGTATTTTTTATGTAACATTGCTTTGCTTACTTGAACAAAGACGCAACATAAATTTCTTTTTCTCTGAATTTGCAGCAATTATAAAAATTCTCGAAAACAAATCATTTCTTAGCAAATAATTACAACGGAATTAATAACTCAAATTAAAATTATAGAAACTACTCAAATAAAAATAGATAAAGAATAGACAAAGAATAGATAAAACTGTTTTGTAACAAAGTAAAATGCTTGCTGATCTTTTACTTTTCTAATGATATGCTTTTCTAACAGTCAAGCTTCTGGCCTACGCCAATATTTACGCCAGTTTGGTAAAACTGCCTGAACTTTATGTAGCAAAATAGGTCTTTGGAAAACTTTTTTTCTTCAGAAACTTTAATTGTTATAGCATAACTATGACACTAAGTGTTTAATACTTACTAATCTGTACTATAAAAGTTGTGTTCTATAAAAATCAAGAATTCTGTAGATTTTAATTAAGTTCTTGTAATAAATTATTCTAAAAACTTATGAGTCGTTAAATGGATTCTGGCTGTTAAAGTTAAATGGTTTTACAATGCAAAGTAATATAGTATTTAACAATATTATTTTGAGAGTTCTATTGGTTGGAAAACTTAGCATTTAAATTAAAATAATTATTAAAATATTAAAAATTACATATTTATGAATACACATTTTGTTTCAGAAAAAATATTTAAATATCTGCATATATTTATGATTAAATTTAATTTCCTTTAAATTTAATTTAGGAGAAGCACAGTTAGCATTGTAAATTTTTAAGAACTCTTCAAAATTCATAAAAATATTAATCCTATATGAATAGTAGTTAAAAAATTATAACAGTTACGTGCACAGAAATCTTTTGACTACATTGCTTACCTAATTCTTTTGCTTAAACAAATCACAAATAACAAAGTTATGAATAAAAATATTTAAAAACAAAAAAAAATGTTAGTATATTTAAAATTGAGCCTTAATTCTAAAATTAGGATATCCTTATTTCTATATCATATTCTGTATTTGAAATTGTTATTGAGTGTAAAATTATTTTTTAATATTGCATTATTCATACATAAATCTGCATATAAGATCTACTACAGTTAAATATTAATTCATATGAAAATTTCATTCATAAACATTTTATCAGCACGCACCTTTGAATAAGGTCTTGTTGAAATTGTGAATTAGTGCAGATTTTGTTTTTTTTTTTTTAAATAACAACGTAAAATGAATGTGAAAATATTGTCAGGTGATGAATAAAAGAACCAGTGTAGCTATGTAATGATAAATTTAATGTTACGTTGTGTTTGTGACTTCATTATAAGGAAACTCATTATGTATTCGTAGTAGGATATGAAAATTTGCAGAATGTCTACGTAATGAAAAATTCATGACATAAATATATACATATATGTATACATTTATGAGTAAATTAAGGTTATAAGTATATTGGAATTAATTTATGATACAGATGTGCATGTCAGCTTCCTTATAAATTATTAATATGTTGATATGTTAATTAAATATTTTTAAAAGTTTCCAATTGAGAAAGAAAATTATAATTTTTACATTAAAATTTGGAAGAAGGAAATTGCTGGTATCTATTAAATTTTCATTTCAAGTGAATAAAATTGGAAGTAAGCAAAAGAGTATACATATTTAAAATAAAAGAAAATGGTAAATAAATAAATAGAATATTGTTAATGTAAGAATTTTCCTACTAAAATTATGTAAGATATTTTCATAAACGCAATACCACAAAGAACTGCGAAACGAAACATTGTGAAATGAATATGCGATATATTTGTAACTATTCCAAAGCCGCTGATATGATTTAGCTGCGTTACACATACTAGTATCGCTATATTTCGAAAAAATTATCCATGCTTATGAACAAACTAGTTTAAGACCATTTGTTTACGTACATAAATAAATATCGCTATATATTGCGTTTATGAAAAGGCATAAAACTATAACAAATTTTTGTATATATCTTTAGGAAAAATACTAGAAAAACGGAAAAATTTAAAGAAAGTTGTAGTAGCACAAACATTCAAATATAGTCTGAAATAACACTTTTCTATAATTATTCTGGATGGGAGAAGTAAATGAAATCTTTCATGATTTAAAAACAATCAGCTGTTCAAAATTAGAATTTTTGGAACTTTAAAGGATTATAACCTCAAGGACAAGAGGGATAGGAAGATAATTTGAACAAACACCCCCAGTGTTAAGATGTAGAATTTCTTATAATTAAACGTTTTCATCTTAAAATTAACAAAGTAAATAAAAGCCTTAAATTTAAAAAAAAAAATTAATTTCTTCATTAAAAAATAATTAAATATAATTTATACAAATAATAAATCCGTGTTACACAAAATAAAGTATTTATGAACCTGTAAAAACTTTTCATTATGAAAATTCAAAGAATGAATGAATGAATTTATAAACAAGTTACCAGTTTCTAAATGATTTTTAAAAGAGGTAATTTTTCTTTTTGCCCTATAAATTTGTTATTTATTTTCTATTCTCAGAATTTTATATCGTTAATCGCATTAATGCACTTGTTACCACGTTAAGAAATAATTTTTCTTTTGTATTTAGTCTTAAATGTATTGTTTGTATAACAATTTCGAATAAACAAATACAATATCCAACTATATATAAGTAAATATTTTAAATAATAAAGTTCTGCTTGCATTTAACTCACGAAAGTATAAAAAGTAAAAATACTTAAGAATTTTTCAACATTAAATCTAAAATGTAGTTAATCTTTCTTATGAAAAAAAAAATTTATTATATTGTAGATTTTACTTTTTTTCTTTTTAGAATTGTAAAGTAATTGTAGAAAGTTGTAATTGTAGAAAAGAATGATTGAAATAATCTTAAATCTTAAGAACAAAGCAGTTAAATTTAAAAAAAATTATTCTTAAATTAAGAGTACTGGGTGAAATTGTTAGGATAGATTTAAATTTTATTATTGTTAAACAAAGATATTGCATTTTTATGAAATATTAAAGTTTTTCAAGGTTACTTTTAAGTAAGGGGTCTATTTCAATTTTAGACCATATATTATTGAAAATGCTTTTTATAATTTGCCATCTTATATACTTTCAAGTCCAATGACAATTTAATAATCTTCGATGACAGACATTTTAATAAATATTCATCAGTTTTTTATCTAAAAAGATTTAATTATAATAAAAATGATTTCATTTTAATAATTGGAAATTATTTTACCATACTTACGGTAACGACAGAATTTTAAAATTTCATTTGCTTCAATTTTCTGCTTTTTAATCGTTATAGAATGTGGGTTTAGTCTCGATATACATGGGTACCTTTATTTTTTTCTCAAAATGGTTTTAAAATACAATTAGTTTGTTAAACAATTAACATGGAACAATATTATGTGTGACTGATCAAATGCTCTAATTACAGTTAATTAAAATCAATAGAGTCCGTAAGAATTATTCAGGATAATCCGAATGTCTTCGGAAAGTTTGAAGAATTAATCTCAATTGTGTAATTTTGAAGTAATTGACTTAACGCCAGGCTGCCATAAATTATGGAATTTTCAAAAATTTTGGGCTGCTTTTGGTTTAACAAAATTTTTTACCTGTTTTTCTTTCAATTGGTAAGCAATGATTTTGATTTTCTTTTGGGATAAATGAAAACGCTTTTTATTGTTATTTTTGACTTAGATTCCTATTTTTCTTATTTTTCCATTTTAAAAATGTTTTTTTTTCTTTTTTTTTTCTTTTATTTTAACTCAAAAAATATAACAATAAATTATTAAATTTAGTATAGACAAACAATTCACAATAAAGAAGAAAATTACATTTTCTATAGTTCACAATTGCACATTTTTTTTTGTATTCTAAATAATCGCAAAAACTATAAATTTTTATAGGGTTACTCAATTATTACCCAGCATTACAGAATTAATTTTTTTTTCGGGCATAATCAAATTTTTTTCGTGTATTTCATTTTTCTTGAATTTCTACATTTTTTGTAAATATTGCAATTATTCATTAAAAAGAAATTTAATTTTCGCATAAATATTTTGAAATGTTTTGTAGATTTTATTATTTATAGAAGTCGGAAAGCTGGAAATCGCAGTGAGAGCATGCATAACATTTAATTCTAATTTGTCAATAAAGCGAATTTCAAAAAAACCCAATATATTCATGATATTCGCATCTGCACAATGCATGTTGCGATTTATTTTTCTTCATAAACAGTCCGACTTTTCAACAATATATTGGAGTTCATAGATTAGCACCGAGTTAAAACGTCTATACATGCAACTGTCAAAAATATATTATGTGGGTATCACGTTCTTTTTTCTTTTCTGTAATCGGGTATTGTATATTCAGAAACAGGTCTACGAATAATTACAAATAATCACAGGTCTACGAATAACAACTATCTATCCAGTAATAATTGAGTAACCTTATAAATGTATTCGAACTCATAATATGTAACGTACTTGGTTTTTTTTATAATACTAAATTTTATTAATAATAATGTCATGTTAAGATAAAAAAAATTATTTTTTTCAATAAAATTGTAAAAAACGAAAAAGGTTCTTTTTTGCTTTTCTCATTTCTGACACAGTTTTTGTTTCGGGAAAATGGGAAAACTGAAAATGGAATGAGTTTTTTTTTCCTTATTTTTCTTTGTTTTTTTACATCAAAAATGTTTACATTTTTTTTTTATTTTTTTATTAGTTTTTCTTAGAATTTAATTTTTTTAATTTATTTTTTTTTTGTCTTTTTTCTTTATTCATTAATTAAAATTATTTTGGAAGTTTTTTATTTATTTAATTTACAACTATACTATATGTAGGTTTGTTCACAAGAATTTTGACGTAAATGTTGTATGCCATGCAGTGAGCAAGATGAATAGCAACGGCGTGTTGCGAATCTCTATTTAAATATGTAAGAGAGAAAGAAAAAGAAAAAAATAATTTTGTTTTAGATTTATTTTATTTTTTGCCTTTTTTTGCTTGTAATTTACAAAAGGTACATAAATGTGAAGTAAAATATAATTGTTTACCTGAGATTTTGTTCTCATTGTAGGTTGATATTTTCGTCTTATTTTACGTGGGCAGCAAACACATAATATTCTAACAAATGCTCTGAAATTGTATAAAATTAAATTTGAATTTTAAATTTATAAAATTATTGCTATTTTATTGTAAAATGTTAATAAAATTAAATGAAAGTTATTAAGTAATTGTTTTAATTTGATTTTGTTTTCTAAAAGTTTGATGTAGGTTTTGTAAGTAGTTTAAAGTGTTTTGAAGAAACAAATTGTTAGTAAAGCTTGTTAATAAGATTTAATTTGAAATTATTTTTATTTATGGTTTTCGAAGAAAAGACAATTATTATGTTTTGTTACGATAATTATTAACAAATGTAAATTGTATTAGAAAATAGGGCTAAATTACTTGTTATTTGTAATAAATATTACGAGTTACTCACGACTGGGATTGTTGAGGACATATGCATGTAATTCAATTCCAAAAATTTGATCAATAGTTTAATTAAAGAATAATTGAAAAAATTAATCCTAAACTAACACAATGATATGAATTATGTTTGGTTAAGGACAATTAACACTTTTTATAATATATAACAAGTATCGGACTGCAACGTACTACTGAAATCATAGTTGGACCGCTTTTATGGTCTACAAAATTGTTTTTTTTTTGTATCTTTTAAAAGCAGATGTTTTTCAATAATTTTCAAGTACGTGTTTCTTAGTTTGTTATTCTAGTGCAATACGGTCAGGATCAAAAATGAATCCATTTAGTTTGGACTACAAACAAAAAAAATTAATTAAAATAAAAAAATGTAAATTAAAATCTGAAAAACGTAAAAATATTTTTAATTTTTTGAAATTTACCTGCGAAAATCCCTACTCCAACACGCATAGATTACAGGATTCATACTTGAATTAATCCAACCAAGCCAGGTAACAACAGCTGAAACAATTTCTTCATGTGCTATACATTGTATACAGAAACCCGATAGTAGATTAACCACAAAAAATGGTAACCAACAAACAATGAATACTCCCATTACAATACCTAATGTTTTTGCAGCCTTTTTTTCTTTGGCGAATTTCGCTAATTTACGTGACAGTGAGAAATTCTTATGACCTAAATGTCTATGACGTCCTAAACCATTATTATGTAAAGCAGATAGTGGTTCATCTTCTTGTTCATCAGGTGTTGATGTTGTTGTACCACCACCATTTCCACCATTATTACAACCATTAGCACCATTTGCACTTGATGAAGATAAAGTTCTTCCAACTTTATCAATTTCAATATCATCAACAATTGATGTTTGTTGCTGTTGTTGTTGCTGCTGTTGTTGCTGTTGTTGTAATTGTTGTTGCTGCTGTTGATTTGTCTGTTGTTGCTGTAATTTACGATGCTGTTGTAATTGTTGCTGTCTACGACGTGCAGCAATTGCTGCAGCTGCAGCTGCTGCCGAATTATGATGATGATGATGGTGATGATGATGACGTGATGAATTACTTGTATCATGATGACTTGGTGCACGTGTTGTACCACCACGATGAATACGAAGCGTTAATTGCAATTCCCCTGATGCCATTAGTACTTGTTTTGTACCGATCTTTAATGATCGTGTTTGTATAACGGCAGCACGATAAATACGACAATATGTAAATACCATAACCAAAAGTGGTAAATAAAATGATATTGTTGATGAAAATACTAAATAACCTAAATGTTCTGTAAATGTACATTTATATGCTGGCATTTCACCTTCACGTGCAGCACGCCACCATAATATTGCTGGAAAACTAATTGCACTAGAACATATCCATACAACACATATTAAACCAGCTGCACGCCTTCTAGTCATACGCATTGGATACGATAATGGATCTGTTATTGCCCAATATCGATCTAATGATATAACACATAAATTTAATATTGATGCTGTACTAAATAGTACATCTAATGATCGCCATATATCACACCAATCAGTACCAAAAAACCATGTATTCTCTAAAACTTCATATAATGCTGAAAATGGCATTACAACTAAACCGACTAGGCAATCAGCAACAGCTAAACTTGTTACAAATAAATTTGTTGATGTATGTAAATAACGTTCACGTATTACAGCTAATATTACTAATGAATTACCAAATACCGTTGCAAATGAAAATAAACATAAAAATATTAATAAACCTAAACGATCCTTTGGTAAGGATTCCATATATTTTGTAAAATTTGGTTCATTATTATCCGATATACCAATATATGTTGTACCAGTTGCAATTGTTGCCGATAAATCATTATTATATGATGTTTCATATAAAATACTACAATTACTATTTGATGAAAATGATGTTATTATACCGCCACTATTTATAACAGGTGTCGGATAACAATCAATATAATATTGATCAGAATCAAAATCTGTTAAATTATATGCATATAAGTATGTTTGATTTTGATGAACTATCTGTTGATTGCTACTTATTGGAATTTCATCTTTTGGATTTAATTGAATATCAGCTGCTAATTCAAAATAAAAATCTGTTACATTCTTTAAATACATTGCTTAAAGTTTTCTTGATTTTAGTTTTTATATATAATATTTTTATTTATTTGTAATTATTTTAAAATTTATTAAATTTAATTTACATAATTTTAAATGTAAAAAAAAGTTTTCTTTAATGTTAACTTTCCTTTTTTTTTTAAGAAAATCTTTCTTTTTCTATTCGAAATTTTTTTTTTGAAAATTATTTTTTTTTTCTAATTTTATGGTGGAAAACAGCTAATTGATTGCTCACAAGTATTTATGAATGAAATGATATGTTGACAAATGTAGAGTGTTATAGTAGGTGTAAGTACTCGTATATAGAATTAGACTTCTCGAAGAAAAAATATGATTGCAATGGTATTTGTAAATTATCCTGTTTCATTTTTTATTATTTTGTAAACCCGTTCTATTAAATTCCATTTTATGTTTTCTTTGGCTTTTTATAGTATGAAGTGAAATTTTATTAATAATCTTTTATTAAATGAATTTCCTTTGGTTTAAAAAAATATAAATATTTTTTAATATTGAAGATCCTTACAATTTGTTATACAAGAAAATATTATATATGCATTTATTATTAATTTTAAATATATTTAATAATTAATTGTTTTAGGTTTATCACAGATGAGAAATTAATTTTAATACCAAATTTATAATACATGCATTATGTAGTATATATATATATTTATTTATATATATGTGTGTTTTTTATATAAGAAATATTTTAAATTAATTTTTATTTTCTGTTTTTTATTATGTATATTATGAGTAATTATTTTTAACATATATATATATATATACATAAAAGTATTTTTAATAATAGAAGGATTATTAGTTATTTAATAGCCTAAAATTAATTATTAAATAATTATTTTTAATTAAATTTAATTTTAAATTTTTATTATTTTATTTTGTAGTTTTAATATCTAAGTCTTGACTTTTATTTGCAGTATGAAATATGTTTTAAAATAAAATTTTATTTTTTTAGATGTAAGTTGATAATTTTTTGTGAGCATTTTTATAAAAATTTTTTTTTGTGATTGTTTGTAGATTTTCGAGTTTAATTTCGAGTTTTATTTATTGTTTTGAACCGAATTTTTTGTTATACTTGACGCTTGAGTTTCGCCTTCAATTTATTCGTCTATTTATTCTTGAAGATTGAATATAGATTGTATTCTGAAAATATATAAAAAATAAAAATTATTAAATAAAATAGTTTTAGAAAATCTTTCTGTTAATATTTAATGTATAATAAATGGAAAAAATAATAATAAAATGTATTTAATTGGTAAAAAGAAAATATAAAATTTTCCCCTTGAAATATTATTAAATATTTAAAAAAATCCCCAAATATATGCAATAATGACAGAACAATTAATTAGATTTTTGCGAATCCATTTTTACTTTTTGTCTTCAATTTAAAACTTAAATTTAAAAATTTACAAATTTGCAAAGTTAAAATTTTTAAGTTAAAATAGTTCAACACAAATTTACTTCTGTTACCTATACTATTCTTTTGATTCAGTAAGATACATATGTTATATTTCTATATGGGCGAAAATAATTTTTGAATTTTCGAATTTTAGTAATATTCAATTGAAGTTGTGATATTCAAAATTAATAAAGAGTATAGTTTCTAAAGCAAAATTCTATAGTATTAAAGCAAAAGTGACACATCTGCAGTTAATAGTTTAGTTATTGAATTGTTGTGTGCATATTCATTTATGTTAATTATGGCGATTTTGAGGGAGGTTGATTGAAAACAGAATAACAAAAATTTGTCCATATGTAAATTATATACTCTATGAGATGGAAGTATTAACCGAACACGCTTATTTGCAACAAGCGTATAAGCAAAACGCACTGTATTTTTTGTTCACATAGTCACATAGTTACATGCACAATATAAGTGTGCATGCAAGCATGTTCGACTGTTAATATAAAAACAAGAACCGAATTGAATTCTACAATTTATCACAAATTTTAAGTTAGGAATGTTGTATTGCATTCTTGAATATGGTAAGCAAAACAAGTATTACAATTTACTTATGTTCATTTTGTTGTTGTATTTGAATCAAAAAATATTAAATTATCATTAATATTAAATAGTAATTTATTTAACTACAGAGTATTAAGGCGAAATATAACAGAGTATTAGAAAAATAAATGTTCTCCTTAATTATTTACAAAATAATCAACTGTGCTTAAAATATATTTAATTTGATAAATTTAATTTTATTGCTATTATTTGTTTGACATTATTTATACATATAAATTCATTCCAATAGAAAATTATCACATTATTTTTATTTTATATAAGTTCTCTTTTTAGTTTTTTCTACAAAAAAAATTTTATATTTTTCTTACATTTGTTTTAACCGATAATCAGTGAATGACAAAATCATAAATAACTTCCTTTAAAAATGAAAAAGAGAAAAAATATAACCCTTAAGGGCGCAATTTATTACTAACTTTGGAATTTAGTTTTTCTTTACATAATCTTGATTATTCTGACATTGTTTACACACAAAAAAATAAAATAAAAATTGCTATAAGAGATTACTTGTTTTCCATTTTCTTTTGGGGAAAAAAATAAGTATGGTATGAGATAAGTTTCGGATAAATGACATATAATTAGTTGTCTTATAAGAAAAAAGAGGAACAAGGAACAAAGACTTAAGGTATTTTTTTATGTAAATGAATGTACATGAAATTATAACGCAATTCAAATTAATATATTGAAATTTAATATATGGTTGTATGTATATTTATAAATCGAATAGAGCTGTATAACTATTCGGGTAAATTAGAGTCCGATTTGGAGTTCTATAATAAGCACATATTTTTTAAATAATTTTTAAATATAAGAATGACAAGCAACTAAAAGAAATACTCTTCTTAAAGAAATTTTCAGATGACCGAAACAATGCAACACTGGGGCTTTTATAGATTGTTTTTGGAATGTTTGAGAGCTCAAATATGATATCATTTGCCTATTGATTTACGAAAAATTTGTGAAATTTAAGAAAACTTTACTTTTTCATAACTATAATTTTTAATAAGAAACTTGCTGAAATAAATGAGTATCTGCATAATTTACGCATTTTTATCGACAAGCGCTATATTTTTGTAGACATATTTTAATAGGCAGGACAGGGGACCAAGTTTGCTGTTTTTGCCTGGAAGAGGACAAAATGATGGAGCACTAATTGTGTGAATACGAGGCGATTGCTCGCCCGCGACTTGGAAGCTTCAGGAGGGCTTTGTGATCCCTGGGATAATCTCGCTGCTTGATGTGGCTGATATAGTGTGGCTTGTCAGGAGCTTGATAGGGCTGGTGTAGGTGGGGACTGGAATCACAAAAGATCGACGTGAGAGTGGCTTAAAAGAAAAAAAATAGCCATAGCCAATATTCAACCGCGATTTTTTCCATTCATGTCGCTTTGTTTTTTCTATTTTTATTGAAGGAATTAAGATTTATTTGGAACCCAACTAAAGTAGTGCTTTTAAAAGAATATATTTTACGATGTAGATAAAGTATATTTTGCGATATATAAACCATAAATCTCGAGAACATTTTTAAATTACAAATTTTCGGAATTTCACTGCAACTTAAGCATCAACGTGCAAATACATATAGGTATTCATGTATACCTATATATAAATGTCAATGTAATAATTTTAAAAGTTTTTATTGTGACATTAATAAGAAATGATTCTTTTTTTAGATATTTTAAAAGCTAACAAAGGGGAACAAAAATTTTGTTGGAATGAGAAGATAAACGTGAAAGTTTAAAAATAAAAATAACTGTGTATCAACAAAAATAATTAAAATTGAAATGTTTAAAAATATTAAGGTTTAAATGTATGTATGTATGCTTTGAATTTAATATTTCGAAGATAATTTAATTAGATTAAAGAGAAAAGCAGATAATGAACTCAGTATATTAATTGTGTTTAAACTTTGAAATCATTCAATTGCAAAATGAGTTTAATTTTAGAATATTCTTTTCTTTTTAGATGAAAGGAGCATGTCAAGACGAAAAAAATTAGAAAACAAATGTAGAGAAAATTATTGGCTCTTAGGTTTTAAGACTAAATTGGTAACATACAAAAAATATTGAGGCCTCTCAATTTATAGAGAAGGGGGTTGGTATAACATTTCAGTGCCTTGCGTTTACGGAATATAGCCACAAGAATACGATAGATCAAAACTTAGTGTCATGGTTAGTTATATTTACTCGTTTTAAGAAGTTATGGCCACTCAGGTGCGTTTTGATCCACATTATGAAAACCGGTCAGCCATAGTTACGTGTTTCAGAATGTGAGTGTTCGTTACAAACGATTTGTAATTTTGACAATATATTTTTCTTCAAATGCAATTAAATAAAATTAAATATCAAAATGGTTCTACTTTTAACACAAAGTTTTGTTATTTATATCAAATTTTAATCAAAACGAAATGCCCTGTAGGTCAATGCTTTTCTGTAATATTAAAATTGATTTAGATTGATATTGAGATTTAAAAATCATCTTCAGTATTACAAGAAATAAAATAAATTTTGATTTCATTCAATTAAAAGAAAGTGGGTAAAATAAAAAAAAAAATTGCTGCATTGCAAAACTAATCTCATTCACAATTATTTTAATAAACTTTAGGAGCCTTTCCTCGAAAATTGTTTGGTCTATAGTACTCGTATAAATGTGAAGTAAAAAGGGAAACAAAGTGGGTATCCTAATAACAAACCTTTCAACCTTTAAATATTTTCAAACTTTTGTTTGTTACTGACCTATAAATTTCTAACTGACTTATAAATTCTTCTTTTATAATTTGCAACTTTAAAAAGAAAAATAAAAATTGTAATGTCTTTTCCAATTAACTATTTAGTTCTAATTTCATGTTTTCAAGGGAAACAAATTAAAAACAAAGGGACTCAATTCACAATTTACAAAAAAAAAGAAACACTAACTACAAAAATTATTGGAAAAAAAAATATATATAGGACAAACAGAGGATGGAAAATCGAAAAAAAGATGAGAAAAACAAGAAGACAACACAATAATCCCTTAGGATTTCATTTCATATTGACAGTAAATCAGATTATTTCGTATTTATACGAACAATGACATTTACAATGACACATCGGTACTATAATATATATGTAAATATGGTCTAATGAAAGGATCCGTTCCGTTGTAAGAAGACGACCAAAAGGAAAACCAAAACGAAAACAACATGTTAAAAATAAAAGAAGAAAGAAAAGAAAATAAAGCCTGTGATTTATCAATGCGAGAAAAAGAGGCAAAACCAAAAAAAAAGAAAAATAAAAAAAAAATAAAAAAAAAAAATATGGGAGAAGACGCAAAGAAAGAAAGAAATACGATAAAAGAGAAAGAAAAAATAAGATTCCTTTAACAGGGATTTATTTGAAATAAGATTTTTCTTTTGTTTTCGAATCTCTCCTTTTTTTGTGTTCAAAGACAAGAAAATGATAGAATTCTTTGTATTTTTTTATAGATCGATTTATAAATTGTAAACATATTGTTGTGG